TTGTCTGCTATTAAACAACTAGGTAAGCCTTGCGAAAGCAAGGCCTCAAAAAATTAGTTTATGACTCAGAATTGTTCCTCTCCACGGAAATCTTTAGTAAAAGGCGAAAGATTTATGCGATCTGAAGAGAAACCAGAGTATACTGAATGTAGCAGGCATACAGTGGGCGGATGACTGTACCTCCTAAATCAACAAGGGTAACTATTTACCAAAACCAGTTAGAGATTTCTGCCTTTCTCTTAGATAATTTTGAAAGAGCAGTCTTATTTTAGTTGTAAAAAATCGAAAGAAAAAGACGTAGTAATTTTAAAGGAGAAAAATCGCCCTGCGTGCAGTGTATTGTGGGTATGCAAATAAGTTTCCGAGTCACCAACCTTCGGTTTCCGGAAATACTTCAAATAGTTCACTGGTTCCCACGCCAGGGGTTGCCACCAGGGGCGGAGCGGGGGATCCAACCCGGAAAAGTGGTTTCTTTTTCTTTCTTTCTCTTTTTAAAAATGTTTTCTAGCTCAAGTGTTTACATGTTTTCTAATTGGCGCTCCAGGCACGACTTTGACTATTTTTTTAATGTCTTCGTTTTTGTTTTGTTTTGTTTTAATTAATCATTTTATTAGGGGCTCATACAACTCTAATCACAATCCATACCTACATCAATTGTGTAAAGCGCATTTGTACATTCATTGCCCGTGTCTTCGTTTTTTTATTCAACAAAACTGTGTCGAGCCCTGGGCCCCTGCGTCAAACCTGTGTCGCACCTGAGGAGACAGGTATTTGAGGAGCGCTGGTGACACCCTGAAGCAGCAAGCGCTACAGCGGCGGAAGGCAGGTGTGAACTGGCGGAGACTAGATCATCTTTTTTAATTATTATTGTTTTATTGGAGGGCTCTTACACATCTTATGACAATCCATTATTCAATTGTATTAAGCATAGAGACGATTTTTTTCAGAGACAATTTTTTTTTAAATTGGGGGCTCTTACAGCTCTTATCACAATCCATACATACATCCATTGTGTCGAGCACATTTGTAC